AGATTGTCCTCATCCGACATCAATGAGGATGACAGATGACGACAAAATACTGCCTCCGTCGTCGGAGGAATGATGCTGATATTATCACTAACCCCGTCTTCGGTGATATTGGTATCAGCTACCACGGCCCTGCCACCAGAGGCCGGATCTGAAGGTTGTCCCTTAGAAGGTTGTTGTCGGACGATTTGGCTTTTGTAGATTCTGAGAGTGATTGACCCGAAGCCTTAGTCGATCACCCGATTTCGAGTTTGAAGGGGGCGATTGTTCGTTAAGAACGACGAAAGCCTCTATGAAGTGGCCCTTGGGCTCGCTGACCTTAGCAATCTTCCAGTCGTGGGTTGGAAGATCGGGGTTGATTTCGTACCGGAAGTGGAGTTTGTGCTGGTTGCTGATGGAGTGGTCAGCAAATTCGCTTTGACCGGGGCATCGGCAGAGGAACAGGGGACAGCGTTGCTACCTGGCATAGATGCCGAGGTGTGGAAGGACAAAGCAGTACTTGACTTTGCCGTCTGAGGAAGTGGTATAGGTGGATTAACAGACACTTGCCTAATAAGGCTTGAGCATCCCCCCGAAAGGTTGGAAGTTTGTTATTTTATATTGTTATTATTCATTGTGATGGGTCCCCACTCAAAGCCGCTATCTGAAACCCGTGGGTGTAGTCACCAACGAAGATCCCATGGTTATCTATGCAAATGCAGGGAGGCCATGCAAGGGTTGGCACCAGTTCTTATGGGAAACAAGTGTGCAGATCCAGATTGGTGCTAATCGGAAGCTAAGCTACAACCGAATCTATACGACCACCTTAAGGGTGACGGGTGCAGAAAGCACTTTGAGGCCAGCCAGGATTTTAAAGGGACGGAGGCAGCTACAGACTTAGCCTGAAGCCCTTCACACACGGGTGTCACTCCGGTGCTACCGTGTCAGAAGACAACTAGGCCCAGAAGTCTGTAGCCACCAGCCCAAGGCGATCAAAACAGAAAAACGGTCGTTGCCAACGGATACTGGAGCCCATGAAATGGACAGTGTCTGGAGAGAAAGATTGATCATTTGATGTTACCCAGGGTGCATCACGTGGAGGCGACCTAAATTACACCCCTTTGATGCTAAGATTGTTGGCACTTTCTTGTCTATGTCTTGTCAAGCTTTTGTTAACTCTTATAAGAATTTCATTTCATATTTAGACATGTACTTTACTATTAAGTTCAGGATCCAAGAAGTAGAATGGAAATAACTTCTTTCTTTGCTGTGAGTTTCCATAACCTTCAACAAAATCAAATTTTCTTTTGATAATCCCAATTGAATTAATATCACACTTGTTGTTTTAACACACGGTTCTTCTGCATCTTCTATCTCATGCTTTATAAAGAAAGAATCTTTTGAAGTGACGTTTTTTTAGTCGACTTTAATAGCAACCTGTATTATTATCAGGGTCCAAAAAAATTTCCTAATGGGAAGAAACAAAAAGTGAATTGAAAGCAAACGAAGTTTTTAAAAACAAAATTTCTTTTGATTATTTTGTTTTCTTACTGTTCCACAATACTTTGAATTAGTCCGATAAGTGATTTAACAATTATTCTTGATCAGGTAATCCAAACATTTGCTTATTACTAAATCTGCCAAAGTTCTGACCATGAGCCTTATACTTTTATCATCGATAGTTATATCGTTTTTAAACCGTCTTAGAAATGGTTCAATTTGACGCTTTTTAGGAAATGTTCAACTTCTTAAAATAGATTGGTTAAGAATATTTTTGCAAACTAATAGGAAAAAATACCGCAGTGGATATAGTACAGTCATTGATAGCGTTTGATAGATTTATTGGGTTATTTCCTATTGATTTAACGCAGTAATATTGTAAAAGCACGCATAGAATCAAATTATCAAACAAATAATTATAACTTCTGACAATTTTGACCCGTGCGGTCCGAAAAAAACGCTATATATTTATAAACTCTTTTGAACAAAACTATATAAAAAAAATGTATAATGTTGATTCCGGTATTATCTTGAAAATTCTGTTTCATTTTTATGTTATAATCTTCTCTTAAAATTTTCCAGGTTTTAATAAATCTTCATATTTATACAGGTCTCATTACAAATTTTTGTAATTTAATATATTTAAATATGTTTTCTATAACAAAAAACTCTTTAAGAAATTTCCCGCATGCTTTATACTACGTATGTATGCACTTACCAAACGATCACAAACAATTGATGTCTTTTGCATTTGCGCATCCCTTCTGAGCAAAAAGTGGAAAAACCAAGGTATGATGTAATCACAACTGTCAACTGATGCGACAATACGACGCCGCAATTAAAATTCCAGGGTTGAAAACTTAAACTTGATAGAAACCTTTTGGTCTTAATTGTAATTTTAAAAGGTTGTAATAAACCCTTCCGCCGAGGTTTCTCTCGCCGGATCCCAGGG